GCATAACGCCTTGGAATTCCGGTAATTTTCTGCTGATTAGCAGCATAACGCCTTGGAATTCCTGGACAGAGAAACTCACGTGATTGAAAATTTACACGTTATTTCCATAGATCATCATAGTGCGTAGACATATATAGTCCTTCGCTTCGCTCCGGACAATTATACCTCGCTCCGGACTTACAACGGTTCCCGTTTCCTAGTCTATTTACACTTATGGTATAATGAGATAAATTGATAAACTGAAAATCTGGCGTTTAAATTATCATTATCATACTTTACAGAAACTTTTAAAATAGAAGCCAAATACTGACTATATCAAAAATTTATCGTGAAACTTTTAATTAGATTTAGTCTCATAAAGTTATAATTTAATATCGAAGTCGTTTCTGCACAAGGCGATCGTCAGCTGATTTGATCGAAATTGTAAAAATGTATTATCGAATTTGTAAATGAAGTTTTAGGAAATAAATAGAAAAAAATACATATTTCGCACGTGAATTATATCTAAATTGTGACTAACCTCAATATTTCATCAATCATCACTAAACTAATAGAAGACTTTTTGCTAGTCTTTCATTTGTAACTTAATTGTATTTCAAAAACATGCATCGATTATGTCTTTCACGTTAAATTTTGTTTATTCTTACTAGTTACTGTACCGTATGACACCTTTTTTACCTTATGTTAAAGGACAGTGATATAACTTGGTTATACAAATCCAAATTCAAAAAAGATCCGAAAAAATCACCTAAAAAAAAAAGTACATAATGTTAACAAACGTTTTGTCAAAAACATTAAAAACATTAAAAATAACTAAAAAGAGGTCAATACTTCACCAAGATATCACGCGTCCAGTGTCTGACCATTGCCAGGTCATACTTGCTTTGAATTCAATATTTTTAAGGATACCACTACTACCTAAAAAGAGAGAAAAACAAACTGTTAATAAAGTTCGTTAAAAAGTAAAGAAAAAACCTTATTTTTCACTTTCCAAAATCCGTGTTCAAAGAGACTTCCCAGCATTCCCATCAGAAATCCCACACGTTCTCCAGCTGTCTATAAAAAAAGAAACAAACCGTTAGCGTTAGTAATCATTTCAATAAAAAAAAGAATAAATTAAAATAAAATAGACCGATTTCTACCAATCTATGCAAATAGCAACAATGCAACATACCACATTTGAATTGTTTTGACCATTTGTGTAGAGATCTCATACGTCTAGACCTTTCTAAAAAAAAAGAAGCATTTGTTGAAAGAAACAAATTAAAAAAATATGACTGATCCACAAAAATCCTACGCGTTTTTGAACTTTTGGCTCAATCAGTTGGTTTTGTTAGGCTTTGTGATATTCTTGGAGTGATCTATCTTCTTTATTACGCATGATTCATCTAGAAGACAAAACGTTAGCAATGTTTTGTTAAAAAAAAATTAAAAACAATTAAACAAAAGTTGATTCTTTACCGATGAGATCCCATACGTTCAGACCCGAAAATGAGTTGTCTAAAAAAAAGATAAAAATGAAGCGTTAGTAGTATTTCGTTAAAGAAATGATTCAAAAGAAAAAACTTTACCAAAATCTGGCGTTCAAAGACTCGATACTTCCTAAGCTTTGAAAAAAGGATACATGTTTTAAAGTTCTGAACTGGTTTCCTATAAATAAAAAACAAATCATAAAATATTAGTTTTTGAAAAAAAAATTGCCTGGAGTAAAAAAAAAAATTAAAAAAATTAATTGTTCTCACGTTATGATCTGAAGAAAAGTTGCCTAAAAAAAGAAATGACATTAATAAATGTTTCATTGAGTAAATAATTCAAATCACCCCTCTTATCAAAATTCACGTAGAAGGATCATACTTCTGATACCCAATAAGTCATCTAAAAAAAGAGAAATAATACGAAACATTAATAGACATTTCGTTATAACATCTTGTTGACACACAAAAAGAATAAGAGAAGGATAGATAGGACAAGGAATAGGAGAAAGGAAAAAGACAAGAGAAAGGAGAAAAGAAAGAACGAGTGGAGGGGAGAAGGGAAAACCGAGCAGAAAAAAGCAAGAAGTGAAAGAGTGGATAAAGAGAAGGGAAAAAATTTCGTTGAAAATTAAAAGTTTGAAAAAGTATCTTATCTTATCGAGAAGTATAGTTGCAGTGAATAAAAAAAGTTTAAAAAAGTTTATTTTTTAGTAAAAAAGTTGAACTGCATTTAAACTATACGTGTGTAAATTTAGTACAGGCCGAAATTCATTACAAATAATTATAAATTGTAAATTTAGCATAAAGTTAAATCCTTGTAAAGTAGTTAAGTATTCATTAAAAAAATATGCAAATTTAAGTTATTTAAATACTTATCTCTGTAAAGAAATAAGTGTTCATTAAAAAGAATATGCAAATTTAAAATTATTTAAATTTTCATATAAAGTTCCTATAAAGTAGTTAATTTGCCATCAAATATTATTTATAGATTAAAAAATATCTTGAATTAATTTTTTTGACTAATTTTCAATTCATATTACTACTTTTTTAAGATCCATATGATAATTTTTTACGATTTGAAAATATTAAATATTTATTACTTAAATTCATTCGATTATTTTGCGAAATCACAAAATTTATCGTCACGTGATCATTCAAAATTGATGCGATTGAGTAACTGCTTGGGTAGCAAATCACAAAGTATATATATATTTAAATTTAAATAAAACGATTTATAATAATAATAATAATAATAATAATAATTTAATAGTTAAAAAATTTCAAATATGTTTAAGTCAAACATAATACTAAATAACATAGTTAATAAAATATACATGCGTAGAACTAATAAAATAATGTTATTATTTCATGATTAATTAACAAGGACATTGCAAACAACCGCAGTCAGCGCAGGATTGGCGAAAGCCATAATCACATGCTCCACCTCGTGGATTGCATTCATAGACATGAGTAATGTTGCAATTAGGATCAATAAAGTCACCTAAGAAAAGAAAATCAAAATAAGACAAAAAAAAAATGAAATCAAGCATCGAAGACAATTCAATTATTATTTACCACCACAGTATTGGCCTTGCGGTCTGCCACCATCGCATGTACAAGAAGTAGAAACGCAACTAGCGGAGGTGTTAAAGACGAAGAAGGACAAAAGACTCAAGATAAAAAGATGATAAATAGTTCCGTTCATTTTCATTGTAATTTTTTTATTGTTTTCTTTGGCAAGTTTAATTTTTATAACGATTTATTAATGTGTTCAGTACTCTTATTTATATTAAATTCGGAAAGTTCAATTTTCTTGACATCCCTTTTTGTGTACTCTGTTAACCAAATGACCATCTAAAATTTCATAAAACAATCTTCTTTTTTGATTTCGTAAAGCTCAGCTCGATCAACAAAAAGTCCTTTATCATAGAAAGGAGAAATCATCGGAACAGTCTACTTTTAGTTAAATGTTTCTCAGGCTAAAATTAAACTTACTCATTTTTAGTTTCTCCGGCAGATTTCCTTCATTTTGCAAAAAGACCAATAAATTCAATGATACATCACGTCGCTTTCATTGTTTTTCACATGTATATGTTTAATTATAGCTGAAACTTTTGATGATAATGTGAAATTAATTGATTATAAATAATTCATTACGAAACCCGATATTTACAAATAATGAAAGTATAGTTTTACTAATAAAAAGTAGCTTTCCGCTAATAGTAATTTCGAACTAGCACATATTTGACCTAACAATAAAGCAAAGAACGTATCAATAATGCCCCTATAAAAACGAAATGTGTTAAATTTGTTGCTCATGTACAATAAATGTCTAAAAGAAGTACCATTTTGTTTAATTTTTGTTTTTTTGTAATAAGACATAAATCGGACAAAATGGTGCTTTTTTAGATGTTTTTTACACATGAACACAAATATAAAATGAATTTAACACATTTCATTTTTATAGGATATGTGATTGACAAATAAAAGATAGGATTTACACATCTCCCTATTACCTTCTTGTGTATTTCTCTGACAAAATATTAATGGTGTCATATGACAATCGTGAAGACTCTTCACACTTTCAACGTTTTGCATGTTCACATGCCGTTCTTAAACGACGGATAGCATATGTATTGGATGAAATGACTTTGTTAAATTTACTTTTGAATTCTTGTACAAAATGATTTACAAGACGATTGTCAAAATCTTCACAAATAGAAGCAGGATCTCGGAATTGCGAAGTCCTCAGCTCCTTCATAACATATGCTTTTGTCGGCACTATTTACTTATATGGTAAGCCCTATGTTGCCGTTAAAAATCTGTGTTAGCTATATCTTATTTTATTGTATAATACAAAACTTATAGATTAAAATAGTTACTAGGAAAGAAAACCGTTGTAAGTCCGGAGCGAAAAGAAAGATAAAACTCCGATTTGCGATTTCATTGGATAACGTCACGTCGTCACGTGAGGGACAATAAATTCACGTGATTGATCATTTTTCATAATGCGTGGACATATATCCGGTCAATTATTGTAATTATTAAATCCTAAAAAAAAAAAATTCTTTTTCTCATGTGTAGATAATTCTAATAATTACAGAAATATTATTTTTTTTAAAAAAAGACTATTATTTGTTAATGCCAACATATATATAATAGTTGATTAATTTATATGTCAATGTTGAAGTCTATTTTTTATTATAATTCTAGTAAATTGAAAAAGTTGTAACATTTAAAATATATAACAAGATCAGATTACAATTTTTCTTAAAAAAAAAAAAAATTTATTCAGAAAATTTTTCGTCTTTTTAATGAGGTTTTTCACGAATTTTTGACAACTAACATCATTTTAATATGATCAGTTGAAGATTTAATTGAGCATAATTTTAATATCTTTGGGCTAATGACACAAGTAAAGTCCGCAAAGAAACTAATATTCTCCACTTTATTTTAGAAGGAAATTAAATATGTGTTGTTGTAATAATATTATTCTCTTGAATTTTGTTAGAAAAATTAATATTAGATTATATTAAATAAAGATTTATATTTAAATTTCGCTAAAAAATTTATAAATTTATTTTATTTATCACTAAGAGAAATAGATAATGGAAAGTCCGTTACAGTGCGGTTAAAGTCTCAAGACTTACAGGTCCTAGCATATGGCCGGACTGTAAGGACTAAAAATAGGACTTGAATTAGGACTTAATCCCAATGGCTAATTTTAAATAAAAAGAACATTTGTTAATTATTATTACTAAGTACTATGTAAATCATATTATTTATATTATCTTTTAGGCACTAGCTGACATTTTCGTAATTCAAAATCTTGCCGATAGTTTTTGGGGCTTATTTTAAACCACTACGAATAAAATCTTAAATCGCCTTTATTTTACTCCGGTTATTAATTATTCTTATTTGCAATTGTGACTTTTTTTTTGGAAAAAAAAAATATTTTATATAACAAATCTATTTAAGGAAAAGTGAGGTCGAGAATCCAACAGGTAAAAATAAAAATTCGAGACTATCGTTATCATGAAAGTTATTCCGGTAAGAAAATTATTCCCGAAATTATTGCTGGTGACTTGTAGTATATAGTATTTGAATAATTTATTAATAAATCTGTCGTGAAACTCGTTTTGATTTGCCATATTTATTTTTAAAATTTGGAAAATGCGGATTTAAGCTTTTTTTGTAAAAGAATTAAAGAAATTATCAAGGAATGATATCTATTAGAGAATTTTGGAGGCTTTTATGAGTTTTAATCATTAATTACTAATCATACTTTGTATATTTTAATTCCGTAATGATATGGTAGAGGCTTGATCACTTGATCCCAAAAGGTTTAATCTAATAATAGAACTCTGTAAAAATTAAGTCCGTTCAATTCTTGGCGTGGGAAATAAATAACGAAGTACATCGAGAACTTGTTTTGGACCTTTTATAATATTTATTATCGAGACAACTTTTCTATATTTGGCAAAAGTTTTCATCTCTTTTATGAATGAAGTTTGGTAGAAGAGAGGGTGTTGCGTCGGAAGGTTAGACTTTACATAATTACCTGCTTTTTTGAATATTAAAAATAGATAACAGTGTTTCACTATCATGTTAATCAAACTTCTCAAACTTCATAAATTTTTTAATATATGAAACATTAAACTAATTTTTCTTTCGATAAAAATTTTTTACAATAAAACAATGCATTATTTAAATTATTTAAGTTGATTTTGATTTACTGAAAGAAATCTTTCGGTGACAATACTCCGCAATAGAACTAAAACAAAAATACGTAACAAAGATTTAAAGGAAAATTTTATCAGCCAAAGCTGATTTAGATAATATATTCAAGTTTTTTGTGACAAAACGTCATATATAAACAGAGTAACCGGAAAAAAATCTATCCTATAAAAAAAAGAATGTCCGGAAATTGTCGTCGAAAGTATCCGGAAAATGTCCGGAAAATGTCAATTTTCCGGACATTTTTGACGACAATTTCCGGACATTCTTTTTTTTGATAGGGCTATAAAGGTATCGGGACATTTCGCCGAAAAATAATCTCTGGTCGTCCTTTTCTTCTTCACCTGAGTCTTCTGGACTTTGCCGATTTTTACGTATTTGTATTTCCGGGTACCAGCTTTTACGGTAATCTTCTAGTACGTATTTTTTCAAGCTTCCATTATATCCGGCAAGGGTCCATCTTGGAGCCCTTGATGGTGCCTTTTCGTTTACTTGTTTGTCATCCTGAGTTATTTATAATTCTGCATAATGTTGGCCCTATTTTTCGGCGAAACGTCCTTTCGGCGAAATGGAAATGTACCGTAACCGGCTATAAAAGGTATATCAAAATTGCAATTGCCTTTTAACTGCCATCTGCAAATCTTACAACTAACTATACAATGTAATGTGAGTAATAACCGTTATAATTTACATCAATGTTATGTTGAGCATACAAATTTCTAATATTTTAATAAATTTAATCAGTTTTAATTGGAAATTATATAGTTTTCCTCGGGTTTACAATATAAAAAGCAGATAAAAAAAAAGTTGTGCGATGATTATATATGCTCCTAAACTTTTTGTTATGTGTACGTTGACCCTAAATTTTATAGGCAATTGTTTTTAACATAAACTTTTTTGCTAAATTCTTACATACTGTATATCAGATATATATAAATTATTTATGTGCGGCTTTCAAAATTATATAGAGAATTTCAGGCACTTTGTGCGTGCCATTCCATAAGAAATTATAAGTAAAAGTTCATTGATTTTGCGGTTTTTCTATTACTTCAGAAGCAACAATTGCTTAGCGATATTGGTTTGGTTTGTTTTTATGAGAATTTTGATTTTATTTTGTTTAATTATTCGAGATGAAGAAACTGAATGGAGTCATATTTATATTATTCGAGGCAAAACGAAATTACAAAACAAATATTATTAGATGATTAAAATTTTTTTTCTTCTTAGTGTTATTAATATTCTCACTTTGAAACTCTTCATTATGTATACCATTATTGTAAATATTGTGCACATTAATGACAATTACTTTTAATATTATGCAAAAAATTTAACGTCGTACAAATATTAAACTTTCAAGCCATATTTTCCGTTACGTTCGTATTCATATCCGAATACGGTATACAGTATACCCAACATAAATGTAACATATATGGTTGAAATCTTTTGATAATCAACTTCATTATACATTTCTTACATTCTTTGTGCTAATGTAAAGAAGCGTTAACGAAAAATTATTGAAGTCCAGACGAGACAATTAAGGTTACAGTTGTGGCTGTGCATTTACAAGGAAACGATTCCAGGACTTGCAAACTAATGATATTTTCTCGTACAGATTTCTGAGGGCTTTAACATGGTTGACTTTCATAGATAAATAAACACAAATTATTAACAACTTAAAGCTATTACTAACTTTTCGATCATATAACAAAATTTATTCTTTTATCGTTTACTTAATTAATATTTAAAGAAATCAAATTCATATTGTTATAATGTGAAAATTTGAAAGGCATCATTTTTTTCATCTCATTACGATTGTTTCCTTAGATAGTATATAAAATTAACTGAAAGTATATTGTGCATAATTACAATGCGATTAGGCCATATCACATAATACATAGTATTATTATGTAAAGAAGCAAATTCTCATGCACTCTTAATTATACCAATATTATTCCTAAATTAATTAAGATAGAATATGAATTTTTCCGCAAATTTAAATTACTTTAATCTTATATACTGCGCTGCAATGTTTAATACTATGAATAATTAATCTAGTAAGTAAGTTTACAATGACGATGTGATAATTAAGCCATCATTTATTTATTCATTAATTTAATTTTATTCTTCATTGAGCTTTTTGCATAACCCTGTAAAATAATGCAGAAAAATGGTATTACAACCTCCTAAAATCACTACTGCTGATAGGCAAATTAATCCTACTATAATATTATATGTATTACAGGGATTAACATTATAGTATAATACAGCGGAGAAATTCAATTAATGATTCCCGGCGGACATATATCCAAATGTATATATACTTTAATATTGATAAATATTCAATTACTTTGTAATAAAAGACTATTTACACACACTTTATATTGAACTTGTGTAAAAATTCATCGATCTAAAAATAATTTTATAATTGCTAATACTTTTATAACTTCATTATAATAAAAAAAAAGAAAAGTTCTTAAAATAATAAGACTATATAAAGAAAGCGCTTGTTTTCCAAAATAATATATATTTAAAACATATCAGATATCGCAGAGGTACTAGTTCTTTGTTCTTGTATTCATATATTATTTATATTATTTGTTTATTTATTTATTTATTTTAATATTCCAATAGTAACGGATCGACAGGAATTGAAACTACGACTGAACACGTAAAAAAGTTATTTTTATGATAATATATTTTGAAATTTTATATTTATACATGCTATGATTGGTTCTGATAATTTAATTATAGTTTCTGTTTCTTTATAAAGTACAATAGAAATACAAAAAGCTGATTGTTTCGTGCGTTACAAACAAACTATTTAAAAGAAAATTTTATAATTTTATGATTTTTTCATTTTTTTTTTTTTCGTTTTTTTCTTTTTTAAAAAATAAATAATATATTTATTTATTTTAATATTTTTATTCTCAATATAGTTAAATAAATGTAAGTCTGCATACATATTAAGCATATCACAGCCCACGTTATATGTATGTATGTGACGCTTAATACCCTGTATTAAACCTTCAGCATTTAACCTAATCGTGTTATAAAT